AAGAGATTACAAGATAAAATATAGTCTAACATACAAAGCATTTTAATAAGAGATTACAAGATAAAATATAGTCTAACATACAAAACATTTTAATAAGAGATTACAAGATAAAATATAGTCTAACATACAAAGCATTTTAATAAGAGATTACAAGATAAAATATAGTCTAACATATAAAGCATTTTAATAAGAGATTACAAGATAAAATATAGTCTAACATACAAAACATTTTAATAAGAGATTTATATTTTATCTTGTTAATCTCTTATTAAAATGTTTTGTATGTTAGACTTTTGTAGCTTATCATGGAGTATTGTTTAGGATCTGCATCAGATATAATAGAAGGTAAGACATTCCAACTTGAAAGCTATCTCAAATTGTAGAATATTGGATACAAACATAATTTTTTGGAACAGGAATGTCAGAAATTGTAATTTAAATAAAGTACATTTTAGCAGTTTGGATAAATCATTCTTTTATTTCCTTTAATGTGTTTACGTTTTTTGTGACAAATTAGGTACTGTAAAATCAAAAAAGTCATGGACCGAAAAGCAATCTGGTACATAAGTAGTTTAGAAAAATGTGCTAAAAAGCTAACGAAATATGATATCGTTAATATCAGTAATTCTAGGGTTTAGAGAGTGCGTGATTAGGTTATATATTTCATTAGAAAACCATGAAGTTATTGGTGTGCATAAATTAAACTTAGTCATAAACTCGTGCTGAAAATTTAGAAAAAAAATGTTAGACAGTATTGATAATATATCTGATAATTTTTCTTTTTTTAATGTACTAAGATAAAACGTTGTTTCATATTTAGTAATAACCCAGATATTTGGATATAACAAGGTCAAACTTTGGCTACCAATTTTCAATCACTATGTTTGAGAGTTCTGACAGTTTTAATTAAGATTTTGTGGCTTAATTGAATGATTTTGTGTACTTGATCTCTATTCTTTAAAGTTAGGCCTAGGAAATGTTAGCAATTTTCAGCATTTTATTTTAATGCACCACGTGTTTGTGCAAAACAATAAATGTTCTATTTCAAAGGATATGGAAAATGACCACTTGTGGGTAGCCCAAAATAATGTGACCCTACATTTAATACAATCTCAGTTCGTGGACATCAACTATCACATTATAAGAGGGCTTCACTATATCATGAATATTGTAATTAGTAAGATCCCTAACATCTCTTATGTAGACTTCTCCCAATTTTATTGGCCAGTTCTATTCACACAGTGTTGTAATAAGTAAAAACATTAAATCACTGAATGTGTTACAATATATGAATTCCAGTGGTCATTAATGGTAATAAAAACAAATCACTAATTTGAAATAATAAAAAACGGTCGCACTTAACCCTATCTGCCCGTCACGAGGTTTTAGTGACTTGCATTCAAAATTTTATTAAACTATATTTTGTTTATGTTATACCAATTAGTATAGCATAAAATCATAGCTAACAATTCATATTTTAAGAGTATATATGTTTTAAGTTCTTAATCTTATAAGGCAATATTTAAAAAAATCCTGAATTTCCCGTTGTGGGAGAAATGTGACACTTTCTCTGGCCATTCCCTCTTCTCCATTTTATTCACCACCCCTCCAATAAGTATGAAATTTAACGTAAATTATTCAATATCAAATCATCATTGCTCAGACAAATCATAATTTTTATAGCATTCACTTTTGTTTAGTTACAGAGCAATCAAATAGAATATCCGACTCCTTTTGCCACACCAATCTGTCACATCCTCTCTTTCAGGATTTGTTAATAGCTCTCTCTTATATTTAATTCTATATTATGTATAACCAACAGAAAGCCAAGGTTTTCATTTATCAAATTATATTATGTTGTTTTATGAACAGAGAATTGTCCATTTCTCTTTTAGTACAAGATTCATTCCCATAGGAAAGATAACAACTAGCTTGGACAAATTTGTAACGATTCTTTTCACATAGTTAGAAAGCCTGAAAAACTGCGATAGTCAGATGAAATTGTTTGCTTTTTACATGTTATTATTCTATGTTCTTTGGTGCATTATTTAATTAAATTAAAATTATTTAGTGCATCACCGCCATTAGTATAAAAAAAGTAGGGTTAAGTGTCATCAACAGTTAACAACAACAAAAAAAAAAGAATACTCGGATAAGTACTTTATTTCTTGCTTTTCATGTTTATTCTTTAATTATTATAATAAAAGTAAGTAAGATGTAAAAATATGGATCTCTTTAGGTTAGTTAAAGTTAGATTAGTTAAAATAAATCCTAATAATAATCGAATATAAATGTTTTATGAGGCATGCACACGAGCAGCTCGTGGGCAATGTAATTCGATATAGTAGCATGACCTCCACATTCCCCAAGTGATTTACAACTTATAATGGTGCGAGTAGTTGTAAGACACGGTCCAAAGGGAAATAAAACAACAAAACTTAGTTATAAATAGATGTATACTGTTACGAATTTAAAGCTACTTAGGATAAACAAATGTAGTTTCATGATACAATTTGAAGTCATTCTACAAAGAAAAAAAGGTAATTTTAGATTTAATTCGATTTTTATTTTTGGTGGTTACAAGATCGGTCAAATTGACCAACGTTGTTATAGAGTTAGGGTAGATAAAATATAATTTTACTGAAAACAAACATTTGAAATGTATTTAGGAGGTCTTAGAGATTCCACAAATGAAATTTGAGATTTTTGAGAT